GGCAACCCAGTCTTCTCAGAACAGCATAAGCAAGAACATGCAACTATTATTTTCTTCTGTACTACTTCTCTGCACAGTGTCACAGGACCTATGATCAGGGCTTCCACAGCCAGAGGTGCCCCCTAATAAATATCCAACACTTGCTGCAGATCAAAGTCAAAAGGTTCTCTAAAAACATCACTGAATATCTTCAGTAAGTAGGAAGTGACCAACCCAAAATTTGCAAATTCTGATGTTTTAGAACCTTATTCACCTAAGTTTGTTTATTTTGTATATAATGAAGAGGATGTTACATCAGCAGCACAGCTTGAACTGGACACAAACACAGCTTTCACCAAACACAGCTTGCATGCTACTACTGCTGTCTGCAAGAGTAATTGATTGCAATCACTTGTTTCTGAAAGAGCAAGACAAATGATGAATGGTTCTCATAAATCCACCACCAACTAATTACCAGTTTGAACCTCTTCTTGACACAAGTTTTAACAATCCAGTGATACAGAACCTGAACAGATGAACTCTTGCCCTGCATGCTGCCTTGCTCCTTCACAGCACATCATCTAGCTGCAGCAGCATTTCTGTGGTCATCTAACACTACTGAAACATGCAATTTTGTCATCTCATTTAATGTTATGTGGTGTCCACATTAACCACGATCAACAAAAATCTATTGTGTTTAGAAGTCTCAATTCAAATAAACAAGTCACAGCATTATTTGATTTAAAAATAGCCTTTATGAGACACCAGATCACTTTGCAGACAGTACCAAAATATAAAATAACAGCATAAATTATAACAAGAACAAAATATCATGCATTTCAAATTGAAAACCAAAAACAAGCACTTTTACAGTTTTTCATAAAGTTTTTCAAGCTTTATAACTTTCTTTAGAAAATCGTAATGAACTGAAAACGCCAATTTTAAGGAATAGTTGCCAAAACGCAGAAGCAAATCTTTTACTAGTGTAAAAGGATTGTGAAAGATCCGATGAGATACGAGTCACTACAGGGAAGGGAAGGTGAGCCTGAGCTCTGTCAGCTCTGACATGCCCGGCAGCCACAGAAAGCAAAAGGCAAAGCCTGGAGCTCTCCGAAGGCTCGGAATGACAGGTGAACCTACACTGGTGTCGGCAGAAGTTGCTCTGCCCTTCCCTACACGGCCAGTCCTCCTTGCTGCGGCAGCTCACGTACACCTGTGGGACAGCGGAGGGGTCGGTCCGCGGAACCGCCGCACACGGCCTCCACCCCCGAGCCCTTCCCCGAGCCCCGGCCCGCCCGGAGCGGCGCCGCGACCCCCGAGCGCGGCGGGCGGCCCGCGCAGCGTCCCGGTGCCGCTCCGCGCGGACACGACACGCCCCGGCTCCCGGAGCCCGCGGCGCCCCCGGCCGCGCCCCCCGGGCACCCGCGGCCCCTCCGGGCGCCCTCGGCCCCCCGCGCCCGGCCCCGCCGCCAGCGCGTCAGCGCTCCGGGCCTGCCCGCCCGGCCCCGCGCCGCACAGCGGCCCCGCGGCGGGCTGCCGGCCCCTCCGCCCTCACCTCCACGAGCTCGCAGCGTCCCGGCGCGAAGCGGATCCTGAGCTCCTTCTCCCGGCCCACCATGGCGGGGCCGGGCCGGGCCTGGCGCCGCTGCGCGCCCGCGGCTCCCGGCGCTGCGCGAGGGAGGCGCCGCGCCCTGCCCAGCGCCGCGCCGCAGGGGGCGCCCGCGCCCCACGCACGCGCCGCCGCCGCCGCGCGCTCATTGGCCGGGGCGCGCCGGAGGGGGCGGGGCCAGGACGGGCATTTAAAGGGGCAGGAGCGCCCCGCGGGGCGGGGAGGAAGGGAACTGCGTGAGGGACAGACGGGCGGGAGCCGTGAGGGAGCGCCGAGCCCCGGCCGCCCCGCGGCGCCGAGCCCCGGCCGCCCCGCGGCGCCGAGCCCCGGCCGCCCCGCGGCGCCGAGCCCCGGCCGCCC